AGGATGAGAAGCATGAAGAGGTTGCCGACGCAGAGGTTGGCGTTGACCAGCATGGCGCTGAGCTTGCCGTCGAGAGCGAAGTCCGACGACGCCACCATCCTTGCCGTGTCGGCCTTGATGACCTGAAAGCCCGTGAAGTTCGCGAAGAAGAACAGCCAGAAAAGGATCAGCTCCCGCCGCAGGATGTCTCGCTTCAGGAGGAACCCCCAGCCGACGGTGTTCTGGACGCCCTCGTTTTGCTTCCTCAGGCTCTGCAGCAGCTTGGAGACGTCGACGTCCGGGCCCCGCAGGCGCCGCAGGACGGCCTTCGCTTCCTCGTCCTTGTTGGTGACGATCAGGAACGTGGGGCTCTCGGGCAGCCAAGGAACCAGCAGGAGGCAGTAGCAGGCGAGGATGCCGATGCTGACGAAGGACACCTGGTACCACTTCAGAGGGATGCCGAGGGCGATCACGGAGACGCTGCCGACCTGCATCATCAGGTTGACCACGACGGCCGCCGAGCCTCGAATCTCGGTGTCGGCGATCTCCACGATGTAGGTCCTCGTCGCCACGCCCATCATCCCGAACATCGCGCCCTCGAGGAACCTGCGCAAGGACGAGGAGGGGCGAGCAAAGACGTTATGTCAAAAGCGCACCGTCGAGGAACCTTGTACGTCAAAACTCAGAAAAAAACAATAACTGGCAACCACACCGGTCTCCGGAAACCTTCGATTCCCTAATACGCCCTTTTCATTAATCAGCTGACACTTGATACTTTTGTCTGCTCGTTTTTTTTTCGTTTTTAAGTTTATGCATATTTGTTATTGTATATTTTAGATGTTATTGGGAAATCGAAGCTCTTCCCTTCCTAAGGTGAGTTACCAGTTTTTCTTTTTTCTGAGATAGGACAAAGTATTTTAAGGAAAAGAAAGTCGGGAAAAATCCACAGAACAACACAAAACAGAAAAACAAACAAACAAACCATAAAACACCCTTACTATCCTCGAAAGGACATCCCACACATCAAAACAAGAGGAACGTCAGACAAATTACCTTCCCACGAGGACCATCTCGGTGTTCAGCGCCAGGCAGATCAAGATGGCGCCCAGCAGACCCGGCAGGGAAGCGGCGACCATGGACCACCGCCTCCCCAGCGCCCGCACCAGCCAGCCAGCGAAGAGGAAGCCGGGGAGGGAGCCGAGGAAGAGCATGCTGCCTGGGAGTTGGGGAAGGAGGGGAAGTGCGGGGAAGACCGGGAGGGAAAGGAGGGGGAAGTGAGGGGATGACCGGGAGGGAAAGGAGGGGGAAGTTGGGGGAGAGGGGAGAGAAAGGAGGGGAAGGAGGAGGGGAAGTGAGGGGAAGAGGGGGAGGGGGAAGGAGGCGGGAAATTAGGGGAAGAAGGGGCGGAGAAAGGACGGGGGAAGGAGGAAGGATGTTAAGGGGATAGGGGGAGAGAAAAGAAGGGGGAAGAGGGAAAGGGGGAGTGATTGTGGAGAATTGGATGGGGGAGCGGGAGAAAGAGGGGAAGGAGGAAAGAGAAGGGGTAGGAGGAGGGGGGAAGGAGGGAAAAGGGTAAAGTTTAATCGTTGTAGGATTATCATATTAATTAAGAGTTGATTGCGTTTTACAATGGTAAAAAATATCTATAATCTATATAGGCCTATAGTTAAGTTGATAGATATAGAAATAGATGTGGACATTGACGGATATATATTTAGAAACAGATTTAGATATACACGCATATATTTAGAAACAGATTTAGATATACACGCATATTTTTAGAAATAGATTTAGATATACACGCATACATCTAGAAACAGATTTAGATATACACGCAAATATTTAGAAATGAATGTAGATATAGACAGAAAAATGTAGAAATAGATGTAGACATAGATAAATTTCGATTTATTTCGAAATAGATATAGATATAGAAAGATAAACTTAGAAATAAATGTAGATGTAGACAGATAGATTTAGAAATAAATGTAGATATAGACAAATAGATAGATAGGCAGATAGATAGACAAACAGGTATACAAGGAGAAGGAGAAGGAGAAGAAGAAGAAGAAGAAAGAAAGAAGAGAAGGAGAAGGAGAAGAGAAGAAGGAGAAGGAGAAGGAGAAGGAGAAAGAAGAGAAGGAGAAGGAGAAGAAGAAGAAGAAGAAGAAGAAGAAGAAGAAGAAGAAGAAGAAGAAGAAGAAGAAGAAGAAGAAGAAGAAGAAGAAGAAGAGGAAAAAGAAAAAGAAAAAGAAGAAGGAGAAAAAAAAAAGAAAAGAAGAAAGAAAGAAAAGAAAAAAGAAGAGAAAGAGAGAGAGAGAAAAAAAAATCAATAGAAAAAGAAAAGAAAAAAAAAACACGAAAAATCCTCAACTTACCCATCATAGAGAGAGAGAGAGAGAGAAAAAAAAAAAAAGAAAAAGAATCAATAGAAAAAGTAAAAAAAAAAAAAAAAAAAAAAAAAAACACGAAAAATCCCCAACTTACCCATCATAGAGAAAGAGAGAGAGTAGAGAGGAAA